CAGCCCATTTACCAGGCAAGAATTTATTCAAATCAAAAGTATATACATATATCTTCATAAACGCGTCTTTTGCTTCAAAAAAAACTATCAAACTTCGTCTAAACAACATTTTAACATCGTCTAATCGTCGTCTAAACAACATTTAAACATCATCTAAACATCATTTAAACAATAAACATCAAAAAAAAAAGTCATTAATAAACAATGGGCTCAAAATCCGATCCAAAAGTATGGGACTATTTTATGATAGAGTTTATCAAGGCAATCTCCAAAGACACAGAACCCACTGAATTGATTAAAAGTTTAATCAAATTGTTTTTTCAAGATGATGGAATGTGTATATTTTATTTGATACCTGACAGATCTCGAGAAATTCTTCATATTGAAGAAATCAGGAAAGAACTTAAACAAAGGCAAAATGCTATAGAAAAAATTAAACAAAATCTTATTAAATATCGGGATGCCCAAAAAGAAGGTCGATCACTTCATATGGATAACTTAATTGAACTTTGTGATAGTCTTTATGAAAATACGATTGTCGGAAAAAATAAGGATAATGTGCACTTACTTACTACCGCAATTGTGTTCTCATTTATTCATCTTACAATTTTGAGAGAAAGGAATAGGCATTATAAGGTATAAATTTCTCTAACGTTAAAATGATTTTATAAATTCATAAAATATTAATTCATTTGTATATATATTAATTATTAATTATTAATATATTAGGATATCTACTCTAACGGATTAAATAAAACATACGAAACTGATCTAATAGCAACAGTTCAGGATTATAAGCAATATTTTATAGATATGTATGAAAAATGGGAAGATTGGCGTAAAAGTCTCATTGTTTTTCGAGATCTCGAAACAAACCCCGACCTTCCCTGTATAGTAAATGACACTTTTCATAACTTGTCTATGTACTTTCAATATCCGAAGACTTTCATTTATGATGATAAATTGTTGGACAAACATCGAGAATTATGTGTACAAGGTCAAATGGCTTTTCTTAATGAAGCAAAAGACGCGTTTATGAAGATATATGTATATACTTTTGATTTGAATAAATTCTTGCCTGGTAAATGGGCTG